CATCTTGCTCTTGATTGCACATTATTTCTTCAAGATGTGAACGAGTGCTCAAGAAGCCCTTGCAAGAACCAAGGAACGTGTACCAATACTGCTGGTAACTATACATGYGCTTGTACAGCAGGATGGAAAGGAAGTGACTGTGGTACAGGTAYATCCTTTTTTGGTCGATCCGTTTGTAATGCAAATATTTTTCTCTGATTAATGCCATTTTTATATCTTCAAGATGTGAACGAGTGCTTAAGAAACCCATGCAAGAACCAAGATCCTTTTTTGGTCGATCCGTTTGTAATGCAAATATTTTTCTCTGATTAATGCCATTTTTATATCTTCAAGATGTGAACGAGTGCTTAAGAAACCCATGCAAGAACCAAGGAACGTGCACCAATACTGCTGGTACCTATGCATGTTCTTGTACAGCAGGATGGAAGGGACATGACTGTGATGAAGGTCTACTTTAATTTTTTTTTGCTTCCAAACTGGACGACCTTGTCAATATTGATTTATATTATATCTTAAAGATTTTGACGAATGCTTTAATAATCCGTGCAAGAACCAAGGAAAGTGTACTAATACTGTCGGGAGCTACACCTGCACCTGTACAAAGGAATGGAAGGGACAAAACTGTGATCAAGGTAAACATTTTCTTTCTCAATTTACTTAGTCACGAAGATATTACTTCTTATGGATGACATAATCAAACTTTTAAGACACCAACCAGTGCTTGAACAATCCCTGCAAAAATCAAGGAAAATGTCGAAGTTCCGTCGGCGAATTCACATGTGTTTGTCCACCCGGCTGGCAAGGAAAGACTTGTGACAAAGGTGGGTTGAAATACTTGAAAATTGCTAGCCATTATGCTTTGAGAGTGAAATTATGTCGTATTTCAGACGTCAATGAGTGTTTTGGCAAGCCGTGCAAGAACCAAGGAACATGTACCAATACTGCTGGTAGCTACATATGTACATGTAAAGCAGGATGGAAAGGACGTGACTGTGATGATGGTACACATATATCTCAACCTTTAGTCTCTGCCAGACACCCTTCTATTAAGCACTSAACGTACATTAATCCGCGACGTTTGAAAAGTGAAAAGTCGTAGTATGTACGACCAGCCTATCTTTAAAAAATAGCCTACCGTCTTTAAACGGGTCATCAAACTCTAAGACCATCTCTTTTTTGAACTGATTCCAGATGTTAATGAGTGCGTCAATGGACCTTGCAAGAACCAAGGAACTTGCGTTAATACTCCTGGTAGCTACAGGTGTTCTTGTGAAGCAGGTTGGCAGGGAAAAGTTTGCGGTGCAGGTAAGGTCTTGCTTGCTTTCTGGCTTGACGTATAGATTGATTGATTGACTCACTGACTGATTAGATTGATTGAATATTTCTTTAAGATGTTAATGAGTGTCTGAATCAACCATGTAAAAACGATGGGACTTGCACTAACGCTGCTGGAAGCTTTAAATGTACTTGCGTAAAAGGATGGTCGGGACATACATGCGAACTAGGTAAAGCATCCATTTTCCCTTAGTTTCACTGATAACTTGCTATCTAATATTGCTATTGTATGATTGCTGATAGATGTAAACGAATGTTTAAACAACCCATGCCAGAACCAAGGCATGTGCGACAATACAGACGGAAGCTATACATGTACTTGCAAAAAAGGATTCGAAGGACAACACTGTCAAATTAAACAAGGTGAACTCCATATTTCACAAAACTTTTTTGAAAACATCTGGTACTGTGTATAACATTATACGGTTTCATTTTAGAMTCAATAGGTAATGAATGTCTTAAGAATCCGTGTAAGAATCAAGCAACATGTRTRAATACTGCAAGCGGATATAGCTGTTCATGTAAGTCCGGTTGGAAGGGCGCAGATTGTGACAAAGGTAATAGCCATTTAATGAGAMCAAATCTCCCTCAAAAGAGACGAATGTTTCAAATGATGTTTTATTTTATAGATATGAATGAATGCTTGAATAATCYATGCAAGAACCAAGGAACGTGTATTAATAATATGGGCAGTTTCACATGCATTTGTAAATCAGGTTGGCAAGGAAAACTGTGCACCAACGGTACGTTGCACTACATTTGTCTCTTGAAAAATATCGGTCTATATAAATACTTATAATGATTTATGCTCAATAATTTGGCATAATCAAATATGATTCATGATAACTTAATGATAATTCAGACGTGAACGAATGTCAYSAAGGAGTATGCAAGAACTCTCTCAATTGTTCAAATACRAATGGAAGTTACCAGTGTCTGTGCGCCCAAGGATGGAAAGGGAAGAATTGTGACCAAGGTAAAATACTTACTGTTCATAACGATATGAGATCAGCGGTAATAAATATAAGGATGCAAAGACCCTTGGTACATATCTTCATTGTCCTGAAAATATTACATAAAAAGTTACAAGTATTTCTGAGTGTATTTTATAAACTTTCTTTTTGTTTTAGAAATGCAAACTGAAAGCTCAAACGTCATTATCTTTTATTTCCTTCCATTTGTCTTCCTTGTTGTGGCATCGATTATTTTTGCACGGAAAATGCTGCTKTCAAAGAAAGGTAAAGAACAAGAGMAACCAAAAYCAGCCGAAAAAATTCCTGAAAAACAATATTCGGGAATTGTTAAAGAAAAGATGGTACATGTAACCGATCACTGTCACACCAAAYTAGYATATTATGAACAGCCACCTTATGAATCAAGTGAAAACAGTTATGACAGTGAATTTGACAGCGAAGAACATGATGAACAAGTTTACCGYGCTGATTATCAAGATTRCTATGCAGAACATGTACAAGRTAAACCGGATAAACCTGTTAGACGACGCTCATTTGAAAAACACTCTCGTGGTGAACCGGAAAAACCTGTTATACGACGTTTACCAGTTGAGGAAGAACCAGAAAAACCGGTTAGACAACAGCCATCCGTAGAGTGTTCTAATAGTGGAACTTATTCTTGCAAAKATAGGAAAACAGAAGAATCTGATTGCACGCTGTCAGTAAACGAACTCAGAAGGAAATTTGAGCCAGGAAATGAAAAGGTATCAAAGCCTGGTAAGAAACGGATTTATGAACGAGGTATCGCARCYAAACAAGTAAARCCGACATCACAAGATACTTATCAAKCTTTGRGTGAACATAGAGATTATGAAGAACCGGAATTTCATAATCCAGACATAATTTTTGATCCTARCAATTTCGRAGGAGAGAAAKTTGGAGAGTCTTACCTAMRAAATGCAAAAGACAAAGAAGAAGACTATACAAGCTACAAAGACTGGAAACTACGACAAGACGAAACARCCGATGTTGCTCTTTTGGACAGTTTCAAGGCGGCATCCAAAGTAAAACGAAAACTTAAAGCTGCAAGCGAAAARTACGATGATCCTAAATGTAGTCCAATTTCCAATCTCACTGGCTCCGTCACGGACGATAGTTTAGGAAATGCTCGCATAAGTAAAATCGGTAGAGAAAGAATTGATTGGAAAGAAGTGCATCATCGTTTGCCTAAGAGTTTTTYTCGGGCTGCTTCAGTAAAGAAAGCACATAAATCTAAACCAGTTACATATAAACCATTGGGTCGGAAAGACGAGAATTTTGAACCAAAGTATTATTATCCCATGGCACTGTCTGATGAAACAGGTGTTGATATTGGTGGAGAACCCGGTGAACAATGGGATTTGAGCCGAAACGTTGAGACTGAAGGAACACAKTGTTCCGGTTATGCAGACTACAGGACTCAAAGAGGGGAAACGTTGAGCGACACATCTCTTTTAGATGATAGAGAGTGGGGATCTCAGAGAGCTGATGTCATTGAGGGTGACTTTGAGAGAAGGCAAATAGATAATATCWGTGAATTGGCTGTTCCCCTAGAAATGCCTCAAGGTCTTGAGAACATGGCTACAACACCAGAAAGAGGTACTGAAATATAATAATAATCATTTGTCACAGATTATCATTATAAGCCATTATCATCATCATCATCTTGTCTATTGCTGGTTTTCAATCATTCATTGAGTCAAACGAGTGGAGATCATGTAAGTGGTGTCAACAATTAAATGCTAATGATGATCTCTTCTGGATATTATCCATCATCATCATCATCATCACCATTAATATTTCCACTATAATCCTTGTAATCACTATCATTAATTACTAATGTTATCCTTGATATCATCACCTCTTTCACATTATCATCCTGATACCTTTATAGGTCTCCTGAATGATGCCGTCAAACGAAGGAAACAAGGAAAACACACAAGACAAGCAAGTCAATAAACAGAGTTAAGCACATGAATGTTTGGTAGATTTCTAAATAATCAATTACTAGTACAGCAACAACAAAAAATCTTTTAAAAAAATGCTGAACTAAAATCTGGCTTGTAAACAGTTGGCGTGTTTTTTTGTTTTATTAAACTATCGTTAAATTGATCCTACAGATAAATGGTATTACATATGTAAATCGTGCCTTCTCAACGAAGCGAGACGATCAATTTTGTACTAAAAACAAGGAGCACGAGTAAACGCTCTAAGAGCGTCTAGTAGCCTTAAAACTTTTTGCAAAGATTGGATTTGCTTGTTTTTATGCTCATCATTTAAAGAGTGGCTTTCATTAACCCGTCAGATGCACTTTGGCATTTTTGTAATTTTTTTCATTTCATTTTAATATTTTCAATTGATATTTTTTAACATTGATATTTGTTTAACTAATTTTTTCTTGCTGCTTTTTAAGTTTGTAAAATCATCTTTTGAAAGTCCACTCTTTTTTTGAGGTAATAGTTTTTAACAGTTTTATATACACMGTCGCGACATCTGCTATTCGTCTTTGTCATGCCTGCCTGMTTCTCCACGGTCACGCCTTTGCATTGATTCATGTCACGAACGATGAAGGCAAACAAACAACCAATCAAAATCTACATAAGAAAAAGATCCGGAAAGTACATATTACATGATTGGTGGGCTACAATCACGTGGTCAAAAGACCGCCAAAACTTGTGCTTGGACATCGATAGTTYGGGTCGCTGARAATTAACACTTTACAGGCGTCTTGTACTTTTCGTTCTTACTATAAGAAACATGGCTACTGCTATGAAATCTCCCAGTACTTCTTCTATGCAAACTCCAGAGCCTACGCGGAAGCGCTCTGGAAGTTTTGTTTCCCCGTCAAAGATGACGAGAACGCAGGAGAAGATGGAACTTCAGCATCTGAACGACCGCCTGGCGACGTACATAGACCGCATGAAAGAACTAGAGGAACAAAACAGCAAACTTAAATCAGAGATGAGAATTTCTAAGGAAACGGTCGAAAGAGAAGTCGATGGAGTAAAGCGCATGTATGAGTCGGAGTTGGCTGAAGCAAGGCGACTTGTCGATGAAACAGCAAAGGAGAAGGCCAAAGAACAGATCGAAAATGGCAAAAATGCTGCTCTTGCGGCTGATTACAAAGCAAAGTAAGCAAACGCAACCCGGTATTTACAATTCCTAAACTTTAACGTCCTTTTATTTTAAAATTTCAACGAATTTCAGAACTGGTAAGTTGTGTCTAGATAATCGATAGCACGTGGAATGCTCAGTGAGTGTCCGTAATCAACAGTCGATTTGCTTGACGAATTCGAGAAGCATTGATCAAGGCTGCTCAAAAGATCATGCAAGCAGAAAATACTAGTAAACCGATCTGTCTTTGCTAAGATTTCTTGCAGATTAACGAAGTTAACAAAACTTTGCAAAGTAATGTTAATTTGCCTGTTTCGTAGTCAAATCAAATCACCATTTAGAGAGTACAAGTCTTATTTATAAGAAATATTGATAATTTATGATCATACATTCGATTGATTTTTGTTGATGTGCTCATTGTTAAACTTTTTAATTACTCCAGTTAATACCAGTAATCAAAACAACAAAAAAGTAAATTTTCAATTGTTGTAATACAAAACTATTTCAAAAGAGACTTTTGCTGTATATTATATGAATTTTATCCAGCTGGGCAATGTTATAAACAAAATGTGCTTTGTACTCTGTTTATAGTGGTTTCAGAAAAATCACTCATTCCTTAATTTTTATTAGTAAAGGTATTTGCTAATAGTGCAAAWCTGTCATTATGACAAGTGACAATATCATTGACTTTGAAGAAATMGAGATATGAGATATATTTATAACATTACATAATATTATTGTATGTACATAATGYCCTGAAATACCAGCAAATCAAATATTATTTCTTCTTTGTGCAAACTCTGTGATGGAGGACCATTCTGAATACATGTACTTTGGAAAGTTATTAGTAATTGCAAATGTCCATTCTATGGTAGCTCTTTAGGTATTACAGACATTGGTATTACATACAGATTTTAGCATTTTTGATTTGTTTGAAAGTTTCATTGATTCATATTGMTGAAACTTGTCATGATGACTTTTACTGGTAAATTCATTGAGTTCATCTTTTCCAGACTTGATAAAGAAAGTGCTGCCAGGAAAAAAGCAGAAAAAGAACTTAGCAATTTAAAAAAACAGTTGGCTGACCTTGAAAACCAGCTTTCCAAAGCCAACCATGAAATTGCCAGTTTACAAGACCGTGTTAGTGAACTTGAAAGTGAAAATAAAGAGCTTAAAGAAACTCTAGACTCAGCAAAGTACAATCTGGAGCAAGAGACTTTGAGTAGAGTAGATTTACAGAACCAAGTGCAGTCTCTCAAGGAAGAACTCAACTTTAAAAAGAATGTATATGATAAGGTAAGGTTATAACGATTGAGTAAGATAATATTGTGAAAAAATGATGGGAGAAGAGCTGGCGACAATGSCTGGCAGAGCTCAAGCCTGATTGGTCAAAGCATCTTTATCTTAATAAAAAAAGTCACTTCACACAAACATTTTTCCTGTCAAACTAAAATTWAATTATCCTTTGACCTGCTCATTGCTGTAGAAGTCTTTAAAACATTAGACTAAAAAGATACTTAAATGATATTGAAAATGACATGAAAATGCTCGAATGAAATCCTCCAAGAGCCCCAAATCTGTTTCTTTGTTTTCTGTCTTCAAGGAACATGAAGAYGATTCAAAAATGCTGGAAAAATTTAAAAGTTTTGACAGGACCTTGAATTCAATGAGTTTTTTGGATACTTATTACTGCAATGTTGATAATTAGAGCGGATTTCGTATGAGTGGGACACCGTTACCGCACGGTTACCGCACAGTTACCGGACCTGGCCTTCACAATTTTGGTGAAACAATGGGACACTAGAATTTGGTTACAGTACGATTACGGTCACAGTACAGTACCGTCCTTTTGCCACTCATACGAAATCCACTCTAATATGTTTGTTTACTTAATTTCCAAGGAAATGTCAGAAATCAGAACACAACTCAAAACTGTTGAATCCAAGAGGGTGATCATAGAGACTGACTACAAGAATAGATATGAAGGAGCTCTGAAAGAAAGACTACAAGAACTTAGAGATGACTATGATTTCGAAGGCAAGAGGTTTAAAGAAGAAACACAGCTCTTGTATAGCTCAAAGGTAACACTTAGGATAGACAGAGCACTTTCGAAACTGGCTATTTTAGATAATATATAATGTCAATATGTAATATATATAAAAGTCAATATTTTGTATAAACCACTGACTTTATGATGTTATCACATTGTCATCACTTTGATTTGATTTTATACATAATGGCTTGATTTGATCATAGCAAATGGTTCATATTCTTTTGTCAACACTTTGCTTCACCCAATTTATTTATTTTTTCCGAAWGTTTTGCAATTTTAGCTAAACAGTTGGCTCAGCTGTCAAATCGTTTACTGATAAATTGCTGTGAATAATTCCCTTTCAGTATGAAGAACTCAGAGTTCAAAGAGAGAAGGATACACAAACCATTGCACAGTTGAGAGAACAAAATAGAGAATTATCTCAATCTGTTGACAGCCTGAGATCTGAGCTCAATCAGGAACAAGCCAAGGTGAGTTACTATTAAAAATAATTAAGTTTACGTAAAATTACCAAATGCTCCTGAATTTTGTTTTCTATTTTCAAATCAACACTGTTTAGCATATAATTTTGCACTATTTGGCTAGAAATGTTTCATGCTTTTAGTGTTTTCATTCTATACTTAAACATATTTTTAAAATCATTGAGGCATTTTTTTGGAAATTTCATAAATAAACTGACTGTAATTCTCTATTAAGGTGAAAGCCTTGGGGACAAGAGTGTCTGATTTACAAGACCTCCGTGCCACTGACAAGAAGAAGGCTGATGAAGCCATCATAATTCGTGAGAATGAGATCAGTGAGCTGAGAAGCAGTATTGATGAAGCTCTTAAAGACTATGAAGACCTTATGGGTGTCAAAGTCGCTCTTGATATGGAGATAGCTGCCTACAGAAAGTTGCTTGAAGGAGAAGAGAACAGGTGTGTGTGAATTGAATGATCGAGGGGGGGGAGGGGTGTGTACATAATTGCCCTCTATAGGCGTTACCTTTGTATTGCGTTACACAATGCAGAGGTGTCACAGAGGGCATAAAGTAATGCTTCTCAAATAGGTCCAAAGCTATGTCTCACTTGATGTAAGCTTTTCAGATTTTGAGGAACATAATGTCAACAATGCTTTCATAGTAGCTTGTTTATGGGGTTTGAATGATTTTAGTGTTGCTGTATTTGAGTAACACACTCACTAGACCTGTATCTTCTAGTATTTAAAAATCTTAATTCCTATTCCAGGCTAAACATAACGCCTCCCACGTCACCAGTGTATGGCAGCGGAGGAGCAAGCTCTCGAAGAAGAGGTGCAAAACGTGCAAGGACAGAGGAAACAGAGTCCACAATAACAACAACCACAACAGCTGAAGGACCAATCCAGATTGTAGAGTCTAGTCCYGAAGGAAAGTATATCAAGCTTTTCAATAGTGGAGAAAAGGTAAGATTTATTGAAATCCATTTTTCAGCTCATCTATTGCAGTGGCACATCTTTCAAGCAGTCACTCAAGACATGGTATTTATTAAAAAAAGTAATTCTGGTTTCATGAATTCAGGATGAGCCGTTAGGTGGTTGGACCATTCAAAGACAAGTTGGCAAAGATGATCCTGTTGTGTACAAATTCACTCCAAAATATGCCCTGAAAGCACAGAGCTATGTCACGGTTAGTGAGCATAGTATATACCTCCATTAGTGTTGTTATGCAGTCTTGTTTTTTATATAAATTATGCTATAAATACTCTTCTTTGCTGCTAATTGTGCCTTTGCATCAAAGTGGAACAGCCAGTGAACATATTTTTATGTAATAATTAATGTATTAAGAATGTTGTATTACATTTTTGTATCATTCCTTATACAGCTTCTTGAACTCCCAACTCCCAAAAAGTSTAATYRTTATAGAAAMAA